ATGGAGTACGACCCCGAGTCCCGCGCCCCCGTCTTCGAGCGTGACGAGCACAGCGGCCGCCGCGTCTGAAGCCTCGACTACCACCCCGGCCCTCCCCCACTCGGCGCATCCGGCTCCGACGATGGCACCGTCCAGATGTGGGACCCGCACTGCCCCAACAGCGGTCGCTGTCTCCCTACCGTTCGCCCGGGCCGAGATGGTCCAAGCCCCGTCTGCTGCGTGGAGTTCGACCCTTCCGGGGGCCCGATCATGGTTGCGGTCTGCTTCGACCGGGCCGTCTACTTGTACGACCTCCGGGCCATATCCTCGGGCCCAACGCTCGTGCTCGACGGGCATCGTGGGCCCGTTACATACACAAGGTTCCTCGACTTCCGTAAGGTGATCTCATCGTCAGTCGACGGGAGCATAATTATGTGGAGCCTAGAAAACGGTAGCCCAATCAGGACTTTCACGGCCACGCCAATAGCCGGAGATTCGTAGGGCTCTCGGTTTGACGGACGCAGGCCTGCTGAGCTGCGGCTCGGAGAATAATCGGTTTTCATGTACGACAAGAGGTGGGCCCGGCCGGTTTGCATCCGGGAGTTCGATCGGATGGCGGAGGAGCAGACGGGACCCGGTCGAGACTCGGGTTTCGTGAGCGGTGTATGCTGGCGGCAGATGGGCGGTGCATGTTGGTTGCCGGCGGGTCGGATGGGGTGCTGCAGGCAGAGCCGGTCCTGAAAAATTCGAGGCCCTGGGCTAAATGATAAATAGTGCCCCATTTAAATTTATAATTATCATATTATAAAAAAATATTGAAGAATGAAGATTATGACAAAATTATAATTATCATATTATAAAAAAATATTGGAGATTGAAGATTATAACAAAATTATAAAATTTACATAAAAAAGAATTGACAAGTGCTAGCGCCTCCATATTATTTATTTATTTATTTTTTGTTTTTGCTATCATTAAATTGATTTTCTGACAAAAAGAATTAGTGTAGTGCGTCAAGGCTTCATTTCCTCAAATTTCTAGGAACGGACTTGGTGACTATAATAGTAAAACATGTGTTTGCTTTTACAAAAATGAAGTTTTCAAATAAGGCATACATTAAATATTCTCGTCCTTTTTGTGACTATGTTTTGTAAATACTCTCTTATATATGTATATACTGAAAATATAACAATTATAGTAAATGTGAGAGAAAAAATTATTTACTAATAATAACTAATAATTAAATGTATGTAAGTAACTCATAATAATAATTTGTTATTCCTTTCTATTAGACATTGAAAATAGAATAATATATTATAAGAGAGAAAAAATGTGGCAAAATTAGCAAAAAAAAGACTAACATAATTAAAATTGAACAATTAATATTTTTGTCAACACTCAACACATAATTTAATAAGTCAACTGATAAATAAATTTGACAAAGTAGTTTAATTTTTTTAAAATAAATTCAAAAATTGGATATAACTATTCGAAACAAGTCTTTAGTGGGCTAGGCTAGACAACTCATACCTATGCAAGCCCATAACAAAGTTGTAAAAGACTAATTAACATTGCTCAAAATAGTTGGTGATTAGTAAAACATCAATCTAAAAAGCCCAAACATAAAATGGGGCCTTAATAATTCAATGGGCCTTTAATGCTTGGTGCCCCTCAAAATCTGTGGGCCCTGGGTGGGCCCTGGGCGGTTGCCCTGCTGGCCCTGCCCCAGGGCCGGCCCTGGCTGCAGGCTTTTGAAGGGGAAAGGAAAGTAATGCAGGTCTATTTTTTTTTTAATTATTTACTGGAAATTTTGAAATTTGGTTAGTTTTACTATTTTATTGGAGATTTTCTTTTGATATAAACCTGACAATGAGGATTGAGGAAAAGAGAATGTTGGCAAGGGTTTTTTTTACGTTGTTGTTGTTTTGTTTCAACTGATTGATTGTATACTTGGAATAGCAAATGAATTGAGTGTATTACTGCTGACAATATTTAGTATAAATGGAAACATTTGATCTTTAGTGAGTTCTGTTCATGATTCCTTTTGCTTTGTTAACAAAGATTTTGTTAATTTATGCTGTTTCTTTGTCTTGTATTCATTTTTGTTGTTTGCTATTAGCTGATATCATATTGTATGAACATATATATAATTGACTGTATCATGCAAAATACTCTGAACAATATAAATAAGAGACCGGGTCCCGTCTGCTCCTCCGCCATCCGATCGTGCGTGGATAGAGTGTCTTGTGTGGAGTGTTGAAAGTTATGTTTAATTTTTCACGTATTTCCTAGCCATTGGATTGCCATTTAATTTATTTGTGATCTAAGGCTAAAAATTAACTGCTGGGGCTGCTGTTAGTTACCCACAGCAGCCCCCCTGACCCATTTAATAATGACAAAATATTGTTTTAATAGAATCATATTTAATCATAGTTATGAATGAATCTCACTTAGGCCATTAGTCCAACAGAAAAGACCACGTTCTTTAGTGAATCAAAGTAGAGGTGTATATTTTTTAGTGAATCAAAGTAGATGTATTATATGCACGTTCATTTTTATATTTTACGGGTTTAGAGTACTAATCATGGCCATGGATCGGTCCCGCCCGGCCCACCAATTCGACCCGAACCGACCCAAAACAGAGTTCGTAGTTTGACTAGGTCAGTTCTGAGCCTCATGTATAAAAAATTTTGGTCTAGGCCGGCCCTCGAGATGGCCCACAATATTTTCTTTTGAACCATTGGCAGCCCAATAATCTGGGTCGTTGAATGCTTTTGACTATTGGAGATCGAACAATAAGATTTATTTTATTTATTATTTCTAAATTCGCCCACGGTTCGGGTCTCGGTTCAGTTTTGACCTACTAATAATAATAGAAATTATATTTATGTCCTAGTAAAAGTATTTTACTAACTTTTATCTAAACTATTATTTTTACCTATCTCCTTCTTCTTCACTTTTACCAAAATCATATATTCATCAATCTCTTACTTCCTCTTCATTAAAAATTAACTAATCAATCCCTACATTATTCTTCATTTATCAACATGTCTAGTAATCCAACATCATCGGGGACACATGCAAATGGGGTAAATTATGTTAACCCCTAATTTTATTTTATTTTTTACATTGATTTTCACTCACAAATAGATCTCTTGATTTTTTAGTGTTTGAGTTATTTTAGGACTTAGATCATTAAATCTTCTTCATGTATGTTTCATTAAACCAATGTGAGGGGTGGATTAGTATGGTAGAATGAATAGAGTGATAATAGATGTAGGTTAAGGTTTAAGTTCGCTCAGTAAACATCCCAGGTAAAAGCTAGAACGTAGACAAAGCGTCTAATAGCTAAGCTTACAGAGGATGTAAACGTCTTATAGTTAAGCTACATGACCCCAAAAACATCTAAAAAGGAAGCTCGACTGTTAAGAGAAACATTCCGTTTGCAAGCTTGTATGGCTCTGAAACGTCTAATCCTAAAGCTTATAAACACTTCAGACGTCTAAACCACAAGCTTGTTTTTCTGCAACTAAATTTTATAGTTTCTTCATTTATCACCTATAGGATTTATGATTATTATTAATATTTACTCCTAATCAAATGTAGTAATAAAATTGTGTAATTTAACTATTTACAGGATGAATTTGAAGATTATACATATTATTTTCAAGACGGGCAAGTACATAAGAGTTATAGTGAAGCTTGGCATTATTGCTACTTTCTTGCCAAATACACAGGGTATGAGTTGAAAATAACTTCAAAGCATTTAACCACCAGGGTAAGGCTTAGATGTAATCGGGCCAATAAAAAAAACGAAAGATGGAGGGACTCCAAAAGCAAGACAGAGAAAGAAAACAAAGACCATTGTTTGTGGTTGTGAGTTCACGGTAATATTGAAAAACATGACTCCACATTAAGAGTTTCATAGTTGGATTATGGAATGTGAAGATGGTAGACACAATCATGAGCCCGTTGAATATGCAGAGGGACATCGGCAAATGAGTGCTCTTATTGTTGGAGCAGAAAACTTATTCGGTCGATGGTTCTTTCTCAAACAAAGCCGCAAAACATATTGTTGGTTGTTCAACAATCATTTTCGGAGGCCAATTGTCACATCAGACAAACTTACATCTACAAGGCAAAGCTCCGGAGGGCATCATTCGGGAAAAGGAGTATGATTCAACAGTTCTACAAGTTGGCTAAGGACAACGAATATGAGATTCAATCGCTTAGAGATCATGATACAAAGAAGATAACTCATGTGTTCTTGGTCCATCTAGAGACAAAAAAGACACTTAGAGTATACCCTTGGGTCATTGGCATGGACTCAACGTACAAGACAAACAGGTACGAGATGTCTGTGTTCCAAATTATTGGCATGACTCCTGGTAATAAAAATTTTTTGATTGCTTATGCAATTATTAAGGATGAGTGAGCTAATAGTTATCGATGGGTGTTGAAGAACTTACGAATTTTGATTGGGAATGATGTTGAGCTCACATTCATTTTGACTGACAGGGAGATGAGGTTGATGGCTCCCATAAAGGAACAATTTCCTCAAACTCCCCACTTGCTTTGTACTTTCCACATCAACAAGGATGTGTAGAATCAAGTGTACAAAAAATAAGGTGGTAATAAAATTGTAAATAGTCGGGATTATGCTTCGAGCTTTAAAAGTGGCACATGGAGACTAGTATGGCAAGCCGACACGGTGGTGTAGTATGAAAAAAACCTTGGTAGACATGAGATAAAAATTACGTCCTCATCCAAAAATTTTGCATTACCTTGAGTCCACATGGTTGGATCCACGCAAGGAGAAGTTTGTTCGTCTCTAGACAAACCAAGTACTACACTTTGGGAACACAGCAACTTGTAGAGTGGAAAGCGCGCACGCCGCCTTGAAACAATGGCTTAACACATCCACCGGCTCATTTGATACTCTTTTTATTTCGATACATGAGGAGGCTGGATCTACAAATACACAAATCAGGTACATAATTACATTATGGCTATGGTTTGAAGTATTTAAAATATAAAAGTTATGTTTTAAATTATTAGGACAAAAAAAATTAAGTTGCAGTAATGAAGCTTTAGAATCAGACGTTTAGAAGCCCCTTAAGCATAACACTGGGAGGTTTTCAGTTGTTTCAAGCAATCGTGTTAGGCGTTTAAAGTCTCTTGAAGCATAGCCCTAGGAGGTTTCTGGCTGTTTTAAGCTTATACATTAGACGTTTGTAGTTTCTTTAAGCATATCACTAGGAAGTTTTCAGTTGTTCCAAGCTTTCATGTTAGGCGTTTAAAGTGTCATGAAGCATACCCCTAGGAAGTTTTTGGTTGTTTCAAGCTTAATATTAGACGTTTGTAGTTTCTTTAAGCATATCACTGGGAAGTTTTTAGTTGTTTCAAGCTTTCATGTTAGGCGTTTAAAGTCTCTTGAAGCGTACTCCTGGGAAGTTTTCGGTTGTTTTAAGCTTATATTTTAGACGTTTGTAGTTTCTTTAAGCTTATCACTGGGAAGTTTCTAGCTGTTTCAAGCTTCTATACTAAATGTTTATTATCTCTTTAAGCATGCTACTTGGACGTTTGGTTGTCTTTCAATATTTGGCCTTGGACGTTCATTTTAATTTTTAATTACTTACGATCTCAATATAATATTTTCATTAACCGATATGATTAGAACAATCATTGTGTAAGAGTAATGTGGATCACACGGTACCCCCATTCACATAGTTGAGAAATCGCGCATCACTCCATTGTTTGAATTTGT